TATATATATATATATATATATGCATAGTAATTATCAACTTTATATCTTAAGATTGAAATCTTAAGATATGTTATAGATTACGTTTTTGATCAAATTTATCACGAACTATGTTTAATTACAGAATGGCGGACGCTGCTCCAGCCGCACGTGGTGGCTTTCGTGGAGGTTTTGGTTCTCGCGGAGCGGGTGATCGTGGAGGCCTGAGAGGTCGAGGCGGTAGAGGTAGAGGCAGAGGACGTGGCCGTGGACGCGGCAAAGAGGATAGTAAAGAATGGGTTCCTGTTACCAAGCTGGGTCGTTTAGTCAGAGATGGCAAGATTCAGTCTCTCGAGCACATCTACTTGTTCTCCTTACCCATCAAGGAGTACGAAATCATCGATAAATTTCTTGGACCAGATCTAAAAGACGAGGTTCTAAAAATCATGCCAGTACAGAAGCAGACACGTGCTGGTCAACGTACACGTTTCAAGGTAAACTTTCTTTTTTTCAAGGCTTAGTTCTATCAATGCAAGATACATTTTAATCTCTATTTAACTTACTGTTTTTCTAATTTTAAGAATTAGAAAAAAAATAAAGAATAAATTGAATTAAGGAAAGTAGTCAAAATGTATACCTTTAGACAGACAAGAGTATTGAAAATGTAATATTTTATAGGCTTTCGTTGCCATCGGAGATAGCAACGGACATATTGGACTGGGAGTAAAATGTTCCAAGGAAGTAGCCACTGCGATTCGCGGTGCTATTATTTTGGCTAAACTGTCTGTTGTACCAGTTCGACGCGGTTATTGGGGTAACAAAATCGGCAAGCCACACACTGTGCCGTGCAAGGTAACCGGCAAGTGCGGTTCCGTGCAGGTGCGTCTAATACCTGCACCTAGAGGTACCGGCATTGTGTCTGCCCCAGTTCCCAAGAAGCTTCTTCAGATGGCTGGTATCGAGGACTGCTATACTTCAGCTAGAGGGTCAACCTGTACACTCGGTAACTTTGCCAAGGCCACTTACGCTGCAATCGCCAAGACTTATGCTTATCTGACACCCGACTTGTGGAAGGAACAAGCTCTGGCTAAGGCACCGTATCAAGAATTTGCCGACTATTTGTCTAAGACTCACAAAGGAGGCGCGAGAGCGGCCGAAGTTGTCTAAATAAACATCTAGCTCCTGTGAAAGTGCTTTGAAAATTATAAAAGAGATCTTATTTTTTTCTCTTCAATCCCTTGACTTTAAGAACCTAATGCTTCCTATTCTCCTTCATTTCGTTTGAACAAAATGAAACTAATAGATGCGGGGCTACAATCAATTATCGCATATATCACAGAATGTTGATACATGTACGTTACATTAAACACTAAATCGGCTAATGGTACCATTATGATTTTGCTAATCATTTTAATATTTTTTATCACATACAATGCAGAATATATTACAAATATCAAAACAACTCCTAACTGAATAGAATACAATAGGAAATTATATCAAATTGATTTCTTGGCATTTTAGCTAAATATCATCAGCTGTATTAACTAGCTTTAGTATTGACTATTAGTATATTATAATACATATGTATGTATGATTAATCCAAGTTTTTTATTGTTCAATTTGTTTTATTAAGAAGCTTAGACTCTACGCCTTTTTAACACATATTTTTAATTCTTAATTGATACAAATTTTGAAAACTTATTTTTAATATATTAGGAGTCTAAAAAAGAATGATGGTGTTATGTAGTATTCACAGAGTCTCCTTTCGTAGCTTTATGTTTTTCATAGGATTTATTAAACGTCTCGATCGTGTGGTCACACATTCTTTCAAGATCCTGGAGGCCCCGTTTCAATACGTGAATTACATTTTCACCAGTAGTTTGGATATTCAAATGCACCCTCTTCTCTGCGGGATGCGGCACAGTGTGGCCGCATATTTTCACGTCCGGACTGCAGGAGAGATTGGACGAATTCAGATAAAATATTTTCCACAATTAAAAAATTACAGTTATAAATTCTGAATAATACGTACTATTCGGTTATTAAAGAAGCGAGCGCATTTCCCAAAGTATGTCCCTCGTCAACTAAGACAAAAGTGCCGTATGTTTCCCCGTGACTTCCTGGCAACTACATTCACGATAAACAATTGAATAATTTTATGGTCAGTTTTTCCACCACATTAATTAATATTATTAACTATTATATTACCCTCGAGAGACGTTTCTCTTTCTCCATCGCAACCTGTATCTTTTATATGCGCCGTTGAGCCACGCTTTCAGTATCCTAACCTAAGCTGACTAGAGAAAATTGATGCATTCGAATAGGTTATATTCTCGTAAACAAATTTGTGATTTTCTCAGAAGTACGTCTCTTGCACGTGCGTACCGCTTGTTTATTACGAGTGTTGTAACAGCTGGTAATTTTCGCACCCCAGTTTCTTCTGACATTGACGTATCTTTATCTTTAATCGGTTTAATCCAAACTTAACCTAAATTTGTAGCATTCCTGTGATTCCTGGATAAGTTTCGTTGATTCGACATCCCGATGAGTCTAAGACGATGGATCTGCGATGTCATCATTCAACGAAATGTGCGATTTCAAGGTATCGTCGCCGGGCGTTTTTTCGCCACTGAGTTAAAGGATGAAGTTGTTGACATAACTGCCGCTGACGAGCAGCCAATATACTCGGAGTGCGAGGAGGAATTCATCGAGAAGCGAAACAAGTCCGGGCTGAGTTCACAGCACAGGAATATACTTATGGGCAAGCCTCCCTACGAGCAGCCTATTGATTGGTTTCACAATACAGTAAGATACAAGAAGCGCATGTTAGGTAGATATGGATTTGAAGGCAACAAGGAGCCAGCAGGGTTTGTATGGCCTACGCCAGAAGAGGTCAAAATCCTTCAAGAATATGAGAGAGTCGCCTTCCCATTATCTATTCAAGAGAGATGGAAGAAGCTGGAGGAGAAAAAACGGATAAAGGCTGAGAAGGTTAAAGCAAGGCATGTATTTACCACTGGCTGTGTTCAGCATAAAAAGAAGCTTTATAATTATTGTAAAATTCTGATTAGTCTTGCCCTTAGTTCTTTATTGGAGAATTTAAATGTATCAACCAATTATATAAGATTTTTACAATAGTTGCAAAGATACTTTCTCTGCTGAATACAGTCCCTGTTTGATGCAAGTTTATAATTTTGGAATAGTATATTAATACATTCTGTATTTGCAGGGAAGCTGAAATAGCTGAGAAATTATCGAAGGTGGACCAATGGACAGCCGAGTTGAAAGCAAGAGTCGCTAAGAAGACAGCCGAAATGGAAGCTGCTAGGTTACACAAAGAGCGCATAGTGGAGGAGATCAGACAGCACTTTGGCTTCAAGATCTCACCTCACGATGAGAGATTCAAGAAGCTGATGGAGCAAAAAGAGAAGGAGGAAAAGAAGAGAAAGAAGGAGGCTAAGAAGAAGGCAAAGGACGAAAAGTTAAAGAGTATGATTGAAAAAATGGTCACAAATCAAGAACAAGAGACCAATTCAACGAAACCTATAGAATAGTTACGTTTTCTTTCGCAAAGTATAATATAAAACGTTCTAATTGTAAAGCTAATAAATTTATAATTCATTAGAGCTCTCTTTTATATGCTTATTTTGAGGCTGAATGTACAGCCAATATGATTAAACCACGTAACATTTTTCTTTACATTTTATTTAAGCAATCATATCTCAATGCGAGACATCGCGAAGTGAACTTGACTTTGAAAAAATATCCAAATGCCTTTCTCTTTGCTTTATATTATTAGAAGTTTATAGTAGAAACTTTTCAATGGGCACTTCGCGCTTACTCTGGTGAGAGTATAATATAAATCTCAGGGACAATATACACATACGTAATAATAAATATCATACTTTTTTACTAATACAAAAACATTACACACTGTTTCGCAAAAGACTAGAAGAAATTCTAATGCATAGTTGATAAATAATGCTCCTCTTAAGACACTTAATCAGGCACACGTTGGACAATATGTAATTACGTTATTTATTTTGGATCTCACTTCGGCCATGCTAAAGTCTTTCAGTAATTATCGCAATTATCAAACCCTCGAACAAACTACGTTGCATTTGAGAGACAAGATTTCCTCATATTTGTACCGTGCTTGATTCATTATCCATTTATTAAGCATATCAATTAACTGGTTCAGCTGGTTCAATTAAGCTTTTAGTTAATCTAGCAGCCGCATCGAATAAAATGATCGTCATTGTGAAAATTTTCTCGAGCAAGATCAGCTTCTTGTCATCGTACAGTCCTCGTCCAGATCGCTGTTGATAGGCAATTTTCTCTGCGAGTTTTCCCGCTCCGAGACGTTCCTTTCGGTTTCAGCAACGTCACGAACCGACTGATTGTCGTACGATCGCCTGTTCTGTATCTGAAGTTCATCAATCACAATAAGACGTACTTTGTTGCCCTCCGCGTGTCAGGCGGATTGCAGCTGCGACGGCGACGTCAATTCATAAAACTGAAAGCTGAGTTCTTCACCGAAGAGATTTTCCGATCCTATAATCTCGGGATCGACCACGTTTAATCCCAGGGTAGTCGGATCCGTGACCAAATATCCCTCATTTACAAGTCCACATTCCTCGGCAACGACCTCCTTGGATACCGGGTTCAGGAAATCTGTAATAAATGTCACAATTCGCGTCAAATTTTGTTTCGCTAATGCCGAATCGATCGATTCTAATTCCTGAAATGAACATTGATTACAATGTCCTCACCACTTTCCTTGAAGGAGCATTGAAGTGAATCTGTTTGTTGCTCCGTCGCCTGCTCGTTCTGTTGACCTGCCTCGGAATCGTTGCTTACTATGGGAACTAGATATTGCACTTCCACTTGGCGTTTTATTCCGTTGAGTATTTGCTCAGCAGAATGCTCGAGCGTTACGGAATTCAGTATATCGTCGGCATCCTCCTCGGAATTCGGCTGCGTGATGCTCGCCGTCGCAGCCTCCACCTCGTCCATGATTTGGCTGTAGTGTTCAAAAACATGTTCAGCAATGTGAAGAAATAGTTTTACAAAATTTAACGAAGAACAATACTGAAAACGTTTACCTAATAATCTTGTTACTCCGAGATTCTTCAGATTCATTTTGCGCTATTTGTGTCGGTGTACTCGTCAGGCTATTAACGGGCAACGGACGAGGTCTGCAATCGCCACGATTCGCGATCGCCCAAAGGTGACCCGCCCCATGAGTAGCTTTCGATCCTTTCCTGAAGTGCGGATTTATCGAGAGATTGTGCCGCACGGAGTTTTTCCAGCGATCATCGTTGCTTTTATAGTAAGGAAAATGTTCACTGAAAACAACGAAGCATCATTTCTCGATTTTAATTATATAAATTAAATACGATTTATATTTTTATTCAAATCGTAAGGTTTTGTATAATTCAATAAAATGCGGGCAAGAGCTACTATAATCATTTTACGTAGGCAAATCGACGGGCACATGATTAAGGATAATACATGTAAAAACACACGGCGGTAATTTGCGTCCCTACGAAACTAATTTCCTTCACCTGCTCGCAGCGATGTCACGGTGCGTTACGCACACCCCCTCTTCGCGATTAATTTCACAAGTTTCGGTGGAGAACAAGAGACATTTAAGCCAAGGGTGCATTTGAAATGCTAAATGGTGCATTTACTCGCTTCGCTGATCACGATGATCACAATGAATGTTAATTGTAACTTACACTAACAGTTTAACAAATCTGATTCTAAGTCATATTTTCTAAGTCATTTTGAATGTGATAAAAATAATATTCTTGATACACACACATTATCTATAATTTCAAGATGCAGTTTCGTGCGTTCGAGATTTTAATTACAATTTGAATCATGAATATAGCTGCGTTAGGCAGAAAAATAAACAACTATTGTAAAATATTCTTTAAGATGATCGGTTTTGTCTTCACAAATCTAAACGTATAAATTATGTTATAATTAAGTTAAATAATACACCGAAACAAATGATGTTGTATCAACATTATCTTAATTAAAAATAATTTTGTTAATTCAATAACATAAGTAATGAAATAAATATTAAATTAAAAAATTGTTAAATCTTTCAAAATTATTTTTGATTACAATAATGCTTTTGAAACATCATTTTTTTTAATGTATTAAAAAATTTTATTGCAAAGTTGCCTTTTCAGTCACATTAAAATAGTCTTGAATAATGCAAACGTAAAAATAAAATTATGATTTTTAATACATAAATATACCAATATTTATGGATTTGCCTCTTTGTAGAGTAACCGGAGATATTTCTTTTAACTCGGTTGTTTGAGCGGCCCTACGCGGCTGAACCTGAGTGATCTATATATGTGTTTTCCAAGGAGCTCGAACAGCGATCGAACAGGTGAAGGCACAAGAGTAGTAAATTGTGCGCATTCGTGTTGAGGGCTGCAACGAAGGATAACTGAAGGGTGAGGAGTTAGTACCAGGTGGTGCCAAGCAATGGGGGCAGTGGTACCAATGGGTACCATCTAGAAGTAGCCCACCCCCGTCACCCACCCCCAACCAACGGGCCACGGGTTCGTGTAAATTCGTAGAAAACCCCTCGCGCGTCTAATACGCAACTAAGAAACTCTGTTTCGAATAAAACTTGTAAATATTTTTCTCTCGTAGGATCAACTTATCAGTTTTAATCAATGGAATGATTTTATTTTAATTTATAATTTCGTTTAAAATTAAGAATTAAAAAATATATATAAGAGTAAATTAGAAGAAATGTATTTAATTGATATGTTTAATTAGACATCTAATTGAAAGGCTATGAAGGAAAGATTGTAAAAAAAGTATGCGAAACTTATAGAACGCTGGTCATGGACAATAATTTTAGCAAGGCGCAACATAGAAGCAAATAACAAGTCAAAATTTTGACTAATAGTAGTAATAAATTTCCTGACAACTTACGAGATCCACTGATAAATCGCGGAAACCGTGAGCTCGCCTCTCTCTTGTAGCGCGTGCTCTATCAATTCTGTATAGGTAAACGGTGGTTTCTTTGGCCCATTGGATCGTGCGGATGAGAAATTTCGGTTGTCGATTCCATTGGCGGGATAAGTCACCTGGTTCACGTCCTGTCGATACGTCGACGAATTTTCGTGACTACCATATCCTCTCTTGACGTCGTTGGCATAATTGGAGCCAAGCGACCTTCCGTTCGGTTTATTCTTATTGCCTGAAAATGCGCAATTAAACCGCGGAACCGTAGATTCTATTAACGGAATATACGCATTTTTTAGATTCATAATTTTATTAAATAATAAAATTTTTTTAAGACTATTCTTAATGAAAATTCTTGATGAAAATATTTTTAAACATTTTTTTACAGATAAGGAACACTTGAAAAATACTGAGAAAATCTAGGATTTTTTTAGAACTTTTTATATATGTGAATTTAGAATGTTTTAAAATTTCTAAAATTTTTCTATAATTCCTAAAAAATACCTTAAACCTTTTTAGATTTTTTTTTTTTTTATCAAAAATGATAGAATGAGAAACTTTAGAATATTTCAGAATGCATCAAGATTTTTAGAAAAGATATATAGACTTTCTGTACAAAAAAACTGAGTTATAAAATTATTTAGAAATTCTGAAAAGTTTAGAAACGTATATAAAAATTTTGAAAAAAATAATTCACTATTTTCTATCATTTCAAAAATAGTCGCAAGCAGGAAGTTTCGCGATTCATTTAATCGATCGATCTGAAGAGTATTTTTTTAATAACCAGAGAAAGAGAGAGAGAACTTGATTTAATTTAAATAAAAATTTAATAAAGTTAGAACTAAATAAAGTTTATATCTTTTCTTTCATCTATCTATCTTATTTATCTTTCTTTAACTTTGATATTCGTAAAAGCGTTGATTCGAACATTTATTTTGTCTTGCACTTTTCTCACCATAATAATTGTTCTTCGTAATCGTGGTGGGTCCCATAGTGGATCTATCGTCTGCGGCTTCGATGAATGGATCCAGTTTGAAGTCCAACAACCACGACAAATTTCCATTTTCCTGATCCTCGAATTGTTGTTGTTGCTGCTGCTGCTGCTGATTATTGCTTATCGTTCCTTTATTTTGCTGCGTGTTCAGATTGGCAAGCGAGATTACGGGAGCGGCGACCGGTTCCCAATAATTCATCGACATTGTCGGCTGATAATGAAGCTCTTCAATGTAAGTTTCTGTAGGATGACGCTCGACACATGAGTTTGACGAAGATGAGGTTGATGAAACTGAAGACGACAACGACGAGGAAGACGAAGTCACAAGGATGTCCACATTTTGCTGTTGCTCCAGCTCCGACATGGTCGTCCAGGTGCAGTTTGTGCCGTCCACCAGCAACACTTCCAAACGCGCTACCTGCGACTCCTCGACGACCTCCTGGACAGACATTGGCGAGAAGAGTGCCGCCGCATTGGCGATGATGTCGTTCGATGTAGCCACCAACTCTACCGGCGTCTCCAGTTCCTCGAGATAGTGTTTACGATTCGTCTGACGGACCTCATCGCAGAAGCTGTCAATGTCCAATTCATCGAAGACCTTTCGTTTGGAATCGTCGACCTCCAGATCGTCGAAGATCTTCCGTTTGACGGAAGCACAGCACTGGTTCTCGGTGACCTCGCCAGTAGTCCCTGACGATGGCCCGATCATCTTGTCGGCCTTTGAGCAAGTCAGTGGATGGATCTATCAAAAATAGGCAAAATGATAGATAAACAAAAGGAATTTATAGCATAGAGCAGGGCTTTTTCATCCATTCCTCACTTAATAATTCTTAAGTTCCTGAACAGAATATGTTGATTATTTAAAGATTGCGTTTGTACCTTCAAAGAGAGCAATTATATAAATATATCACTGCAAAGAGATATTGTTGACTATCGTAAATTTTTATATTACTTCAAAGTTGAAACTGATGGAATAGCCCCGCTCGATTCTATAAACAAAAGGAAAAAGCAGAAACTTAAGCCTGTAAAAACCAAAATAAAAAAAATTAAATTCCCGAGATAAAATATTGAAGATTGAGATAAAAAATCTAGCGTTTTAGAATTTAAGTTTACAAAATGTATAAATTCCCATTAATCTAAATGAAAGACTCCATTTTCTTTAATCTATTTACTTTTCGCAAAATAACAAAATAACGAGCAGCAAATCCAGCTTGTGCGTTAAATAATTATCCATCGGAAGATAATTATTTTGACGTTTGTGTGCAATATTAGCTACAAGCTAAAAACAAGCGTGCTGTATATTATAAAATATTCGCATCCTGTTATGCAGAGCTTATCTTACGATATACGAATTCATAAGTATCGCCGGGTGAAAAACGCGAAAACGTCTCATACCTTGCTCCCGTCTGCTATGTTTATTCGTTTTTTTTTTTTTTCGTGCGAGGTACTCTAATATTCCACGTTCTTCTATCTAAACCGAATTCGGCGCGAGATCATCGTCAAAGACTAGGAATACGCGAATACTTTCAGCCTGTTAACTCCGTTTTATGTTGTTTCGACTTCAGACACGCTTCGCCATATCGCGATTCACGTGCGGCTTTCCGCCCCGCGTTCGCCGTTCCACGTCGCCGTGTACGTTCAGCGCGGGACACGCTTCCGAAATGAACCGTCCGATATTTTTTTTTCTCCCCGTAATCGCCGTGATCAAGCGCCCGCAGAGCGCGTCCGTCACCACACGATCAGCGCCGTGTGCGCGCCGCTCGTTTGTCTCGAACGTCGGCTGTCCCCGCGCCACAAGCGTCGCGCATGCGCACTTGCAATCGTGGGTACAATCGCAGACAAAAGCAGTGCCAGACGCATCCAGACGATCGGACTGCACCAGAGCACTCCCCACCATGCTTCTTGTCACGTTGTTCCATCCAGCGATTGGCCGAACGTTCGATTAGGTGCAGGCACGGTGCAGGTTGCATTCAGTTGCATTCAGTTGCATTCATTGTGTAGCTGCACTTTTGTATTTTTCATTTTTTCTTCTCCTGCCGTGTATTTTATTATTAAACGAATTGTCACCTTTCTTTATTATTACGTAAGAAGAACACGATTAGATTAAGGATGAATTGTATAGTTATAAATTTTGCTTGAAATAATTTTGTTATGTGAATTATTTTACGATTGAATTGAATTGAATTAATGAAATTCCATTGCGCGAAGTGGAATAATTTTGACATATTATTCATATATTAATAGAAATTTATGTGCATTCAAAAATAAATAAATTTTTTTATTATAGTCTCTTATTTGTATAGATTTCTTAATTAAGGACTATTTCTCTCGTAAAATAAGATAATATATAATAAAAATGAACATATATAATAAAACTAAAAGTGTATAACTTTTGTGCATTAAAATTGTTGCGTATTGAACGATAATGTTTTTATTCTTGACTGCGTGATATCTAAAGAGATACAAATTAATATCTTTTTTTTTCCGAACATCGCACCTACATATATTACCTGAAAGTTTTAGAATAAACTAATAAATATATATAATACACGATGAAAACGAGTAATTTCTGGAATTGTTTTCGGAACTATTATTAAAAGTTATTGAAAGAAAGAAAGAGATGATGAAGAAGGATTTTAATAAAGTATAGGAAGTATGATCCTTGAAATTGATTTCTATATTAATATATTTGTTATAGATTATTTATTATTTTCAAGAAAATCTTCCGCATATTCTGCGACAAGGTCAAGGTAATGAGCGCGACCGCGAAAGGCAGTTTATCGCTATCATTTTTGCACGGACTGTCGCATGAAAAATATACTATTTTTTATACGGAGTTTACTGCGTAAGGGCGCAACATCGAGTCGCGAGGCCCCGCCCTTATGCTGAGATAACTCGGGTAACAAGGTGAACAGATACGAAGACGATCAAGCATCGCGAATTGGAAAAAGACATAAAAGATCGCGGGAATTATAAGAGACATTGAAATAAATTTGAACTTTTTGGAACGAAACCGGTTAAGCGGAAGATTGCAATAACATATTATTCGATTATTTTCAAGTCTTTCTTTGCGCGTTTGAAGATCAAAGGATGGTAGATATATTTTTTATGTTAATCTTTAAAATTGTATCAGGCACGATTTCAAGATCTGTTACATATATGATGGTTGCTTTGTTGAAATCGTAAATATAAACATTGATCTTGAATTTAAATATATAAAATTCACGATAAAAAATTAATCTCAAATACGAATATATATATAAAGTATGTATATATATAAAAATAATGTTATTACGCACAGGTCAAAACAAAAGAATTACTATCTCGAAAACGATAACAGATACGATAAAACTTCATAGAACTATTTTTATTGATAAGATATATGGAAAAAAGGTCTTATGCATCAAAAGCCTATATCTATCACCGTTATTGAGGCAACGATCCCAACGTCTGCTAGACCAATGCATGATTTTTTTGTAAAAGAATATGGAAAGGCGAATATACACTTCCAAAACCAGGTAGCTCCTCAGATAGGAAAAAAGAGAGGGGGAGGGAGAAACGGAAACGTACGAATGACCTGCAGTTTTACGACGAGAGAGGAAAGGGGGGGAGCCCCAAGCTGGAAGCTCCAGAATTTGACGGCTCTGGATTGGGTACCGTGGATATGAACAGTACGGATACAGACCGACCGAGTGTCACTTGGGAGAATGACATTTAAAATCCGTGACTGAGAGTACGAGACGACGACGAAGTTGAAAAATAAACAGAGCAGATAAGGTTGACAGTTCGACATTAACAGTCTAATTGACAGCCCAGAGCACATGGGGCATTGAGCATCGTCGGAGCTAAGTGCCGTTCAAGAAGCGCAGCGATCATGGATCGCAATAACGATGTGGACCAACACTTGCTGCATCAGTTCAGCTGCCTAGGCACCACGGATAAAGATGACCTAGTGAAGCAGCTGCAGAAGCTACTGGCGGACAGTCATTTGAACGAGGCCACCGCTGCGTTCTTTCTTGATATGAACAATTGGTAAGCGAACATTTCCCCCGTCGAGACGTTACTTTGCCGTTCGTGTACGCTGCCCACGCACATAACCTTGCATCGCCATGTTTACCCCCCGCAGGGGTATTATTCTTTCTTGGACTTTTTCGAAAAGACTTTCTTTTTTTTTTTTTTTCCGAATTCGAAGGCTAGCTCGTCGGATAACGCGCATTACTTTTCCTATCATCTTTCCCCTTTTTTTTCTCCTCGACGTGCCGTTGCTCCGCTTTTGTGAAAAATCTGTGTCAAAATATTACCAGTGTCCCATTTCAGAGCCTAATGATAATTTGGACTTTGCAGTCACATTCTTTTGTCTGCAATTTAAATGGCGCATACATATGTTTTTATATTTTGAAGACAAAAAGATCATTTTTTTTAATGGAAAGCATAGCTAAAAAAAATTTAATGGTACTTAATGATGCTAACAACTGGATAGTAAATTCTTAATTAATATTTAAATTAATTATTGATTTAAAAGATTAGAAATACATGTAGATTTATTATTCTAACTATCAAACCTTTAAATAAAAATTGTTTTACAACGTAATTTATGTTTCAATCATAATGTCCTTGGCTTTGTCTTCTAATTGTTTGCAGATAACAGAACGACATTTGTAAAGCAACTGTCACTGTTACATCAAGATAAATAAAATCTGAGTTGAAACCTTACCGCTTAAATTTAAAAATATACTCACCTGTAAAAAAAAGCGAGTCACTGTAATATTACAATAATTTGTTTTTCTTGCAAGCAAGTTCTCTCCTTTTCTTTTTATTAGACATTATTATAATATAAATTTTCTGTTCCAGGAATCTACAAGCAGCAATTTGCAGCTACATTGATTTTGGAAATCCCTTCAATACACCGTGTATGACATTGATATGTGACAGTACGATCGGCGAGGGAGAAGCTGTGCCACCTAATACAAACTTTCAGAAATCATGGCGCGTGCAAAACAGTGGTACTGAGGCATGGCCCAGTGGGATCCACCTGCAGCATTCTAGCGGAGTGCAAATGGGCTGTGCGCGGATACCTGTACCACCATTGGCCCCGAAGGAAGTCATAGAGTTAAGCGTAACGTTGAAAAGTCCGGCCGAAAACGGCGTGCATTCTAGTAAATGGAGAATGATGACGCATAATGGTATCTACTTTGGTGGTACGTCGCGAATTCTATGCTGTTTTTCCAATGGAACGTGATATAGAAAAAGGATTAGCAAATTTAAGGATATGTAACATTAAAAAAAAGAAATAACTTTCTTTCGATATAAAATCAGTAAATCAACTGACCTATACAAATTTAACTTAATTAATTTTATATTAATTGAGAGATGATCTGTACATAGCTTGTGATTTGCAATTTACTTATCTTGTTGATATCTTATATTGATAACGTTAAGCACAAAAGAATATCATTGTTTGTCTTTCCATTGATTTCTATAAAAACTCCGTTGAATCCGTTTTCTAAATTGCTCTATTCGATTTAATTTCAATTGTATTTTATCGCAAAATTATCTTTTTTTCGCAGATGTTATTTGGGTGATTATAGCGGTGAGTGAATCCGGCACATTGGCAGTCACTCAGCAGTTACATCAGTTAAGTACACGGTCCAATGATGTACAAATGTGCTAGCCTTTGACGTACAAAAATCTCCCTTGAGAAAGATTTGCAGAATATTGTATAAGACGTCTCTCGGATCGTTGTGAGAATTGGCAGTTGTTTCTAAATTTTGTATAGTTGCTTTTTTCACAACGGAACTTTTTGTCGCTCCAATACCTCGTAAAAAGAAATTGCTGTGTGTAGCGGAACCATTAATAAAAGATGCGATATATTTGACTATACTCTTATTCTGATTAAAATATTAATAGAAGAGACGCCAAGCTAGTTTAAAATAAAACTGCATTTTATAAAAAGAATATTCCAATATATAAAAATTCTATCTGAATTTTCATTAAAAATAATCTTTTTGTTTATAATGCAGAACCAATTATTTCCAATGTTTGCTCTTACTGATTTATATTTAAAAAATAACGAATTTATACATATACATAGAATTACATAGTTTTGTTATACTTAGAAGCTTATATAAGGCCTTTTGCGATCGTCCATACTTGTCGATCATATTCGACCGAAAAAAATTAAATTTGTGTAATATAGAAGTTGGAATAGTGCGTGCGATGATTTTTATTGGAATAAAGAAATGAATCGTGATAGAGAGATTTGCATGAATCACATGCAGTGGGTATTCAAGCTATTGATGTATATTTAAGGTACAGATTTATTGAGAATATAATTTCTTTTAGAAAGTTAAGTTTAGTTCAATATACACGTATATATACATACTAGCACAGATGTATATATGTGTATATAAAACTTTACTTACAATATATATAAAACTAGGAGGTTACAATATAAAATATATTCATGACTTTTACCATCAGAACATATACAAAAAGAAATCGAGCTATATATTAAGATAATTTTTTTATATCTCTCTCAAGTCGAAAATATTGTACAATTGAAAGTACTATCACATAATCGGTGTATCCAAATACTGATCAGAAATACTATAGAAAGACTAGTTTCTAGCATGTTTATTAGTTAAGTACATTAAACAGGAAAATCAAGGATTGCATTCAGTGGAAAAAGTAGCTTTACAACTCTTGTAACATTTTTTAATGTGATTAGTTATCAGATAGTTTTAAAAGTATGACTAGTTATACATTTATCAGTGAGGAACTAAGTACAAGAGGAATCAAGTCTAAAAAATGATAAAGAATCTTACAACAGCTGCAAAGCTACTTTCTCTACTGAACGCAGCCAACATCGCTTCATTAATGAATTTTACGAAAGCGAAATACAGATTACATGGATCTTTCAGAAGCTTATCCAAGCGAGGTAGTTCAGACAGCCATCTTCATATAGAGTTTGGAGTATGGATTATAATCTATCAATTCGAAATCCTCAGCAATGAAATCGTCAATATCTTTAACTTCTCTAACTATCCTTAATTTTGGAAACTCGCGCGGTTCGCGTTTTACCTGTTCCTCAAGGGCACTTATATGATTGATGTAGACGTGGCAGTCTCCCATTGTATGTACAAATTCTCCTGGCTGAAAAATAAAAGAAAATAAAAAAATAGAACAAGATATGTCTGGAATTTGAGTGCGGAATATCGATCCTCACCTTTAATCCAGTAACATGAGCGATCATGTAAGTCAACAAGGAATACGATGCTATGTTAAATGGCACACCTAAACCCATGTCTGCACTTCTTTGATAAAGCTGTGTGGACAATTCTCCGTTATTTACGTAAAATTGTATAAAAGCATGGCATGGCGGCAATGCCATTTTCGGAATATCAACTGGATTCCAGGCTGACATTATAATACGTCTGTCATCAGGAGAATGCTTTACTTTGTAAATGACATCCTTCAATTGGTCTACACCTAGAATAAGTACACAGTTAAGTTTTAATTGCACTTTTCTGTGTTCAACAAATATATGAAAAGGAGAAGAAGTTTAGGTGATTTATTTTAAGGAATTTTATCAAAAATACCTTGTCCTGTATAATCTGTGTGCATGTCTCTGTATTCAGCACCAAAATGTCGCCACTGGAAACCATAGACAGGTCCTAAATCACCCTCCTCTCTATCAGTAAATCCACAAGAATCTAAGAAGGCACGTGAACCATTTTCATCCCAAATGTGAATACCCTTATCTGTCAATTCTTTGGAATTTGTTGATCCTTTGATAAACCACAACAGTTCCTCAACCACTGCTCGCCAGAATACTTGTTTAGTTGTCAGTAATGGAAAAACACCTGTAACCGAATAAGCAAAATGTTATTAAATATGCCATCAAGTTCAAAAATAATATTGTGGTAAATTGGCATTAACTGTATCTATATTAAATGTTTTATTCAGTAAATTCTACTTCATTTCTGCAGTTAATCTACTATCGTCCGTTATATTACTGATATTTTGAAAGACTGTAAATTGCTTTGGAAAACTTATAAACCTGTTATGCTTAAAAATTATTGCTGGCTATCTTTACTTTACCAAAAACAGACTCGATAATAAATATTCTAATTGAATCTACATTTACCGTCTCGTAAACTGAATCGCATTTGCGTGCCGAAGATGGAATAAGTATTGACACCAGTGCGATTGTTCTTTTTTGCTCCACTCTGAATAACCTTTTCGACGAGTCTCAAATACTGATATTCCTCGTGTTCTTCCTTTGTCTTTTCATTCATCTTTTGCTCCACATCCTGTGTCGTTTCTGGCAATGATTTCTCGATCTGGACACCGTTATTTGCCATCTCTTAGCGAGGTATATCGCATTACAATAATAATATCTAAAAATATATATGTAATATATGTGTAGTGTAGTAACTGGAAATCTTTATTCCAGACGGTTCGAGGGAAAACCGTCATTACAAATTTGATTGCCATACCGAAATTATTTGAGTTTAAACTTGCTTTTCTCAAAGAAAGAGATAGCTGAAAAGAGATTTCAACCAATTTCAACTAGCGTTTATAACACGTCCAAGCGCGGGAAAACGTAAGTGACACGTGATTTATCCTAGCTGAAACTGAAACAAGAATACGATAGAAGCGCAGGTGGCACGAAATTCAAGCCACATGGCCTTGCATGGCCCATCAATCCACACACACGAGAATACATGTGCGCATTTTTTTGAAACGTTAAATATGAAAGGATGTTTTTCATTATTTTTTTTTTCTTAAAGAAACATTCCTGAAAGAGTTAAGTTTTTTGTAAGGATCAATGCAAACATACACAGCCTTTATTTCCGATAGTATAATCGTAAAATAAAAGTAAATTAATATACAAAGTGCGATATACATCACATTCGCTTGTGTATATATAGAGCGAGAAAGAATAGAATAGACATGGGCATAGGTCCAGGTAGAAATCCGAGGCGCCTGATACGCCAGATGGCTCATTCTCGTTACCTTCGTTTTCGATATATCAAGAGAAAAAAAATAAGATTAATATTATCCGTAGGATGTGTGATATAAAGAATCCACTTAGCGTAATGTAAATGCTTTGTTAACTAATCAGAAAAAAGAATTTTACGAATTGACCAATCAAAGAATGCTTCAAACTCGGTTTCAAAGCACTTGCAGCGTGAAACTGATCGCATCTAAAATGTGATAAATGTATATATGGTTGGTCGTTCGAGGTATGTACAAATATTACGGGGTTACATTTCTTTCTACGTATACGTATATATAAATGTATGTACATCATATTTGGTATTACATCATTTGGTAACATAAAGTACACGAATGTCTCGCAAAATAAGAACATAAAAAGCGATTTCATGTTCCTCACAAAATTCACCTCTAGTCATACCAAATTCCTTAAGTTGTGAATCGCGTAAAGATGTCCCGAGACTACCGGATCTTTTTCTTTTATTCGATTTAAAGCCGATATGTTTCAATAGAAAGAATATATGAAATTTTGCGTATTCTTTTAAATTTTTAAATGGAATTTAAATACAGAATTTTAATTTAAGTTTAGAACATCATGAACATCGAATACAATTATCCCGACATTCTTGTTGATGGAATCATCTTTGAATCGACCGTGAATCAAGAAATATTCCGTAGTCTCAGGACATCACGTATAGTATATTTCAACGCGATGCATATGATGTAGTAAATAAGTAAATGATCATGATGATTTGTACAATTGTACGCTGGAGAACGCTGTTGCAAAACTATATAATTTTTCCTCTTCTTCATTTAGAGTTAATATTAAGAAATGATATCCATTAAAGTACGCTGGTCTCGCAACAGATTTGACCGAGTACCGTTTCCACGCAAACAGATTCGGTCGTATTGGTTACGTATTAATGGCATTAGTGCTATCCAGCGTGTTCGCAGTCGCCTCCTCGGATTCCGCAACGGATGGATTATTGTTCAGTCCGGCCTCGGTATTGTAACCCGAGAATGAACAGGCAGGCGCGCTTCTGGCCTGGCTCGCCGTAGCCTCGGGTAGGAGTGACGTACGTTCTGTCGCGCTTCCCCAAGTCTGCTGATATGCACCACGTCCTCGTATCCTGCGACTTAGGGACGAGCCCACAACGCCCAAATGTTCTTTTATGTCGTTATGCACGTCAGAAACGTCCCACATTGCTCTATAAAGATAAATCAAATGTGTATTAATTTATGCAGTATTGATATAATTTTATTTTGACACCAGTGCCAGTGTAATTTTTTAAAATTAAAATAAGTACACAATTCAGGATGTCCAGCGAAATTCGACTAATCTATTTAAGAATAATTCCAGAACACATTCTGGGTAAAAAATCCTAGTTTTTCTAAGATATATCCATCGATTAATTTCTGCCACTTGATTAATTTTCATCGATTCACACAATGTTATATGCTTTGTACTATCAAATTAGAAGTAACAATTAGGATTCTCAATGGCGAATGAATTAAAATTCGGAATAAAATTATTTAATGCTTCATAAATAATATCAAATAAACATTTTGTAAACACAAACGATTTCTCTACTATATTCTATTTTAGACATTAAATCTAAATCTTCTATAATTTATTGCATTAAGGGAGAGTTCATACCTAAACACAACTTTTCTTTTTATTAACGTATCACAAGCATTCTTATAAATTACTAACTATATAAAATTAATTTATTTTCGTTTTATTAAATTATCAATTTGATCTTTAATATTTGCACTTGCTTTTAAAGCTTTATCTAAAATCTTTTTTTTTTACTTTTTAATTCTTTCAACATTTTATCTTGTTTTTTTGACTCTTCCACATCAAGCATTATTTTTCTTTGTCATTTTTTTCTTTCGCCAACGCTTCTTTACTGGATATGCGCATTGCGAGCATAATTCATTAGCAGCTACTGACTGATCAACACAAGAGATTGCTTTTACTAATTTATAATTGAGCGGCGATCGATTCAAAATTTTAGAGATACAAATCTTAAGGCATGTGCGGCAAGTGTTTTTAAATTGTAAAATTCTAATTTTTTTTTAGAATGAAAGAATAAAAAATTCCAGGTTAACCCTGAAATTCCAGAGGTTTTCCAGGAATTTTCCAGAATACATTAAATTCCAGTATAATTCCTGAGAGACTTGCTCATTTTCCATTCCAAATGGTAATTTGTAACATATAAAAATTTGAAACTAATTATAGATTAGTATAATTTTACGGTTAAATGATTGCTTGTCCGTGAGTGTTGCGCAATGATACGAATCGCAATCGAAGGCAACCAGTCGTTTAATTATAATAACTTGTAATTAGTTTTAATATCTCAAAGCATTTATATACAAAACTGCGTGTTCGGAAAATAAAAAAAACTACCGCTAAAAAAATGACAAATAGTTTTAAGTTATTTTTTCGAAAAAAAGTTTTCTTACTAAGATATTGCTTTTGATTTGCGAATTTCGAAATATCTTGTTTGTCTATATAATTCCAGAATACATTAAATTCCAGTATAATTCAAGGATCACTAGACATCCTGCAATTTGTTTAAAAGTGCCTCTTAAGTAGTATTTATTATTGTTTTACAAACCTAAATGCGTCCCACCACGCTTGACCCTGCGCTAAATTGACAAATGGTTTGTAGGAGAAGCTATAGTGATGCGCCACCGCGGCTAAAAACATCTCTATGCAAATTAGAAAATCTTGCAATTTGGACGATATATTCCTGATGTCATCCGAGTTATCCGTATTAAAAATACTCGATATGACATCAAAGTACACCAAAAGAGCTATCAATACTCCTTGACTGTAAAACAAAAACACAGTATATATTTTTCCATTTCACTTTTAAGATGTCCTGAAATCCGCGAATATCAAAATAAAATACTATAGCAAGAAAAAATTCTTAAAATAGATAAATTAAAAAAGAGAGACTTGCTCATTTTCCATTCCAAATAGTAATTTGTAACATATAAAAGTTTGGAACTAATTATAGATTACGGTTAAATGATTGCTTGTCTGTGAGTTGCGCAATGATACGAATCGCAATCGAAGGCAACCAGTCGTTTAATTATAATAACTTGTAATTAGTTTTAATATCTCAAAGCATTTATATAAAAAACTGCGTGTTCGGAAAATAAAAAAAACTACCGCTAAAAAAATGATAAATAGTTTTAAGTTATTTTTTCGAAAAAAAGTTTTCTTACTAAGATATTGCTTTTGATTTGCGAATTTCGAAATATCTTGTTTGTATATTTTTTTGACAATAAGTTATGTGGACGTTATAGCAATATTTACAAGAATGAGAAGAACACGACAGCTTTGATACATAAAAACTTTCCAATTGGCTTCATTGGCTTCAAGGCCTCTACGTTGGCACGGTAAAAGAGTACCAGACAGTACATGGCAACGAATTGTGATAAATTGTTTAGGGCAATCATGTATGGAAAAGCGACATTTCCTTTAAATTCACCTTCTCCATATACTCCATTCAGTTCGCATATGCTATAAAATATAGAAATATATACACTTAAATATTACAACATGCAATATTAGAAATACATATCTCTATCAATAAATTGTGCTTACAATGATATCAACGTTGATATAGGCCTAACAGCTGCATATTGTAAAATACCATGCTTGCACATATGTACAAATTCTCTGCCCATCTCCCAATCAGGTAGACAGCACAGAGGAAACATATGATGTACTTGAGGAGAAATTTCCAGTCTATGCTCCAATTGGTGGTCGGCGTTCAGGTAGGCCAGTAAATACTTCATGAAATTATATATTACATAAGCTTCGTAACATTCTCTCAAGCTGTCCACGTATATACTTCCTTCAGGAAATACCAAACCTAACCACTATACAAATAGAAAGCATTCGTTAAAAAACTAATTAAATATTTACATAATTTTGATAATACACAAGAAAAATTTGTAACATTTTCTTACAGCATTGACTGCGTAGATGGGTACCATCCATAATATTCTGAAAAAAAAAAAAAAGTTTACATTTAATACTTGTGTGTGATTGAGAAGATAGATATTAAAACTCAATTTGTAAATTTTTACACGACAAACAGCCCACCTTATTATATATTTCTGTAGCCTAGGTTGCGTATAGTATATCATGTGTTGAACAATCTCATAAAAAGCGATAGGCAATGCCAACAAGACGAAGGCGCCACCCACCAGTGCACCTTGATCCTGCTTCTTAAAGCCATTCTTAATGGAATTGACTAGTAAGATTGGTACAAGTATAACAATGAGTAGCGCATACAGGCAGGTCAGCACAGGCAATATCCATAATCTCCAACGTCGGCAGATCGAAGCCATCACTCTCCTTGGATGCTTCAGGTGCCGTCACATTTCAGACTACAACTGGACTCGATTCTGTAAACAATCACTAAAGATTAGACTTTATAGCAACAATTAGGAATCGTAGATTCACATCAGAGTTTATGACACTTTTTACAATTGATTTTTTGGATGAGCTGTAACAACCTCAATAAACAAAATGTTAGGAGCTTGCCAGCGGATTCGTGAAGAATATCTAGATGCTTTCCATTTAATGACACAATTAAATATCATTTAGACTTTGCTACTCATGGAATTAAAAAAAGATATAACATTTATGTCGACTTAAGTACGATGATTAAATGGAAATCACCTTTTCCATCACTATTATAACCGATTAGAGCATATCATTAAATGATCTTTTGTTCATTTAATCCATTTAAATAATATCTAAATGACAGATTTTCAGTTTCCTTAATGAATCTATCATATTTCTGCTAGATTTCTACTGACAAAATTTGTAGCTGACACTTAACTGAATCTATAGTGGAGTTGGCTATCTGAAAAGGGGGGTAATATATTAAGTTGCACTAGAAAATAAAGGTTTCTGATCATGGAATTACATATTACTTGATAAGAGAGATATCTACTTATCTACTTAATCATAATTACATTGTTTACTTGTCGATAAACGATAAGCTCGCGTAATACTCCCTAAACTCTCTTCATAGATCACATACTTTTTGTCCGTTAATGTCAAATTCAACGAAATTCTCTGCGCACTATTATTGCGATATACGAGAGAGAGAGAGATACAAGAAAAAGGGAGGAAAAGATGAAGCAAGACGCCATGCAGCGGCGGCGGGGGAAATGAATCAGCTGAGTGACAGCGTAGTTACGGGGGGAGCTTCCTTTACAACCCTTCAGTTTCGCGTCGCCCGAGTATGATGCGTGCGGCGGGTGACTCACCGTTTCACAGTAACGACGAGCTGACGTCTCGACGACGTTAGAGCGTCGCGAACGTCACCGGCCGGAATACCACGCCGGCTCGATCGCGTCCGCGTCGAAACGCCGTAGTAACGCACACGCACCTCGGCGTGGATATGCTAATTTGACATTTCGTGTTACTTGGCACAATAACCATTGGAAACCGGAAGCCCGCGGTTCCCCGTCGCCGCTGCTTCGGAGGAAGGGAAGCAGCGGTGACCAGTGTCACCAAGTTACAGACGGAAAATATCACGTTTCGACGCGAGAGAGCCACGACGCCGGAAAGCTTCTTGTGGATCTCGTCGCGTCGTTCAAAAACAAGGATTGTCGCGCAAGAGGAGAGAGAGCAGATCGAATCGGATTATTTCTCATGGGAAACAGTGAAACATCGCCAGGGATCATGTCGCTTAACGGCCGATCTAGAACCTCCCATCGTCGTCAAACGCGTAAGTTGGTCAACACTGTGCGGGTGGCGTAGGAGGGGTACTTCCGGTCTAATGGCGTCAAGAGCCAAGCACTGTTGTCACATTTTTGTCCTACAGTGTTTCAATATTTCGCTTTGTTTATGTCGCTCGTGGCCATCGGAACGAGGACGAGCAGCCCAGCCGGACGCGTGAATTACGCTAAACGAAGGTGAGGGCGAATGTATTTTTCCGCACGCGACGCGTATCAAGGCGCGGCTTGTGATATTCAGTGCGGTCCGGGTGCAGTGACCTTGATTTCGCTGTCAGTCCTGAAGTACGTACCACCGCCAAATTCAAACTCTGCACGCGACGCACTATTTTTGGACATCAGTGAATCGTTTTGTACTTTTTTTGTATCCTTTTTCCTGTCATTTTGTCGTCTCGTATAGAATAAAAATACTAAGAAATGCATTATCTCGTTAAAGCTCGGTGTCTGATAAGAAAGTATATATTGGGTCTGTTTTTTGTGACTGAACTAATGTACACTTTTGGAGCTTAGAGTGAGATAGGTATATGTTTTTATTGTGTGCCTTCCGTCAAGCGACATAGTACAATACAGTGATCATCTCATCCTTGTTTAACATCGGTAAACAACAAGGATGTACTGATACACTGTGTCACATTGTGTCATCTGTGTCGCTCTTTGGAAGGCACCCATTATCTTGCAAAAGTGAGAAATAGAGTGCTAGTGTAGTTCTCGCACAAGAATAATAAAACAGATCTATTGTTTAATCTAAAGTCAGTGGCACACGATGTTTGTTTTCCTGCTGGATTGCTAGCTGGATTATCACTACAATCCAGGGGTGTGTTCAGAATCGTTGTCCTGATGCACCTAGATGTTGTTTTATCCTTATTGTTCACGAATGATAAACAAAGATAACACAACACCTAGGTGTACTCAGATTCTGAACGCAGCCCAGCAGGAAAACAAGCATCGTGTGCCATTGGCTTTAGTTGTGTACTATCTTGTTAGTCATGATAATTTTAGTGCTAAGAGTCTTTTTGCTATAATAAAAGAATAAGAAATATTGAATGCCTATCATTTAGTGACACAAGTCGATAAATATTGTTTTTTGTTACTTATTTGGGGGGAATACAAAGAATGATATTTGTGTCGATTTGTGTTATTAGGCAATGGAAAAGACACTTGTGTTATGATGCTGTAGAGCTAAAATGTAAACTTTTTTTGTTAACTTAAATAAAAGTTACTGCATATATGCAAAATACAAAAGTGATATTTAATATCGTCACACAAAATAGTTAATTATTTTATATACATTTTTATTATTTTATTGTTAAAGAATACAGTATAATAGAGTACTGAGAATATGTTGTCTATTGTTTTGAAAATTCTATTGGAAACAGATTCCACTATGATGATATTTCGGTGTATTTGTAAAATAGTTTCATTAATTTAACAAAAGCTACTATTACAACGTATACACAATATGAGAATAATTTTAAAATTATTACATGAGACAATAGAGAAAGCAGTGAATTATTATTTGGTACATACTATTTGGGAATTAATTTTAATTTATTTTATTTTAAATTATATTATTTGCGTAAAAAGCCAAAGAAAATAGATTTTTTTTTTACACTCATTTTTCTTTATGATCTATAGATTTGGCATCTGTAGATAGGTAAAAGTTTATGAAGAACAGTTACTAGTCGTTGTTCAGAATACTCAAGTTATGGAAGTTACAACAGAAGAGGCACAGGCTGTGCTTTTGGAAGGAATGGAAGGTGCTCAGTACATCACTATCCAAAGAGCCGACGGAGAGTCCTTGAGCAAAGGAGTACCACTGTTAACTTTGAATGGTGAATTAATCTCCGAAGGCATGGTCGTGGATATGATTAACGCTGGCGTTGGCACAGACTATGGCACTGGCACGCAATATTATGAGGCGGACGACTTGCTGTCGCATGAATTAACAGAAGTTGTAATATGTTACTTAATGTCCATATAACTGTATATTTATACCTTACATGTAGAATGTGAATTGTGTGATTCAGGAAGATCGCAGACTTGCCGCGGCCCTGGTCGCGGTACAGTTGCATCAGCAGCAGAAACAGCAGCAACTCCATCTCCAGTCACAGAACGAGGACCCGACTCTATCAGACGTTTCACATCTCGAGACCCTGGCGCCAGTGAATTCGTACTCCATTCAAGCAGTACCAGATTCGAACGCTACTCCGTCCGTGTATTCACCTTTGCAACTTTTCAAGAGGATTACGCAGAATGTAAAGCAAGAGTTTATCAACGTTAAAAGTGAATACGACGTTGAAGTTTCTACGGAAAGTAGTGAGGATGCCATATTGGCATCCGGACCCAAGAGAACCCTGCCACACAAAAAGAGGATACCTCGGAAACTAAAGCAACAGCAGATAAAGAAGAATGTGGTGCGAAAAGACTACAGTAAATTGGTTCAAGAGAATGCGGCAGTTGAATCGATTAGCGAAGTTCAGACTAATGTCTTTAAATGTGAATTGTGTAGTTCTAAGTTCAGCAGTCAGTTGAGGTTCTTCGAGCACTTAAAGGTATGTTCACATTGTAGGAAATAACTAATATGCAGTGACTACTAAAGATTTTGAGCCAACATATAATTTTACAATAATTTTTGGTCAATTATTTTTTTAGTTTATATTGTAAATTAATAAAATTCTTATTATAATTAACTTAATACAATATTTTAAATACTAAAATATATTAATAATAAATATTAGGTATTTATAAAAATTTTTATCTCTGAGCATAATACAATAAAATTGCTCATTGGCTGGAAACTTTTAGTAATCATTGTATGTATGTATCTTTAACAGAAATAATTATAATTTAATAGAAGTAGTGAAATAAAACTTAATTTAAATAATTTTAATACAGGTACATTATGAACCGGTAAAACAAGAAACGCGAATAGCTCAAGCAACAAATACTAATATCTCCATACCAGTGCCAGAAACAGTACACAGTTTAGAGAATACCGTGATTGAAGAATTCAGTGAACCTGAAGATCTTATGGAGGGTATCCGAAACGTGGGTAAGAGATCTTTGATATTGACATTTTTTAAATTTTTCGATACGAACAACTATTATATTACAAACTTGTTGATCTTTGCCGTCTGCAGTAGAAGAAACTGGTGCGCGTATTGACGATGATGCGGACTCTCCGTTATCTACTACAAACAACGAATCAACCATGTGGGCCATTACTGGCGTCACAGAAGAGGTACAACAAAGGGACCAACAAATGAAACCACCGGAAGATAGCAATGATAAGAGTTCCAACGAGAAGGCAGAGACTGACATTCCACAAACGGCCAAAAAAAAGAAATCATTAAAAACTCGAAAGTCAAGTTCGTATAATTCTTTTTTCCCCCAGAAAAGTTCTTGATGTACTAAAAACATAAATTTTAAAGATAGTATTTTCTTGTAGGTAACGAGTTAACATGTACTCAGTGTAATCGTTCATTCCACCATAAAAATAGTTTAGTTTACCATATGCGATCTCACAGCGGTGAACGGCCGCATCAATGCGATATTTGTAGCAAACGCTTCTTTGCTGCCAGTGCGTTGAAAGTAAGTAGATGCTCAAAGTGTAAAATTTATTTTGTTAATAATATATAATATATAAAAATCTAATAATTTTATTTTTCGACAAATAGGTACATAAAAGACTTCACAGTGGTGACAAACCATACAAATGCGAAGAATGTGGGCGACACTTTCGACAATGGGGCGACTTAAAGTATCACTCGACGAGTCTTCATTCGGAGCACAAACAGTATCAGTGTGAATATTGCGCCAAAGAGTTTGCCCGAAAATACTCTTTGATCTTGCATAGGCGTATCCACACCGGCGAGAAGAACTATCGCTGCGAATACTGTAATAAAACGTTCCGCGCAAGCAGTTACTTACAGAATCATCGTCGTATACACACCGGTGAGAAGCCGCATCCGTGCGTGATATGCGGCAAGCCGTTTAGAGTACGAAGTGATATGAAGAGACACATGCAGACGCACAATCGACCGAAAAAATTGCTAAACAGAAGTCCGACGAAGAAAAATGCGGAGCAGATACAAGGTAACAAGAGAACACAGGCAAAAACGATTCAGGATCTCGTGAGAGATCTGAAACTGAAAGTTGAAGCGACGGGTGTTGTGGAGATTGTCTCGGACAATCAGGAGGCCATTTTGCCGCATACAGGCGCACAAAACTTGGAATACACCGTGGCGTCTACAGCGGATACTGTAAACAGAGATCCTTTGGAAGCGGTTGTGCGAACGACTGATAGTATGTGAGTAGATTCAATTGTATATCTCGATGTAGTAAAAGATCTTTTATATATTGTGACTATTAATTAATCTATTGTGTTTTTGCAGGCAATATTTTTTTATGTAATCGTGGAAGTCTCAAGAGAAGAAAATATATTTCATTGCTTAATAAGATTGATTATTTATGGAATATTGGCACTTGAGCGGTCTGTAATGCAAATATTATGTTTTGTAAAATTGCTTTTAATAGCAAATTATGTAGATTCAAAACGATTTCATTTTTAAAAGTTATGTGTATATAATTTTATTAGTAAGATTTAAAAGACACTGTTTATTCGAAAGCAAGTAATTGGAGACAGATTTTAGTTTAAGTAAATCGTATTAACATACTGCCTAAAAATAATGTGTAACTTTATTAGTTCTTTAAAAAACTAAGTAATTTGTGTGAGATCAAATAGAGGATTAGATTGTTTTACGACAGTTCCAAGATTCCTATGATAAAAATATCATTTGTATACGTACATGTATAAATGGTGCGTGTATACATTATACTGTAATTATAATTAACACTAACTGAAAATGTATATTTTTAAGATTAGGATTGTACAATTGTATAATTTGTACAATTTAATGATTTATATATATACATATTATTTTGAATGAACGTTAAAAAATATATTTTTTACTTGAACGTGTTTATAGAAATATATTGGTCCACTTCATTTGTAATCTTCGAACGTCTAAATAGCCGCGGGTATTAAAGTCGGCCCGCTTACATCGGTGTTACCGATGAAAATTTGCAAGATGGTAGCTAGGTCTTTAGATTCAAGGGCATCTTTAAGCTTCGCCGTAGCTTCCTTGCCACTGATTCTGTTACACGAATAGTATTATTAGAATTGGGTCGCGTCGATAAGAATCTTATCTTTACCTTCGAGATCGCTTCGCTCGTTCCCAATCTACATATAAATCGGTGATGATAGCGTGCAGCCTGTTCAGGATTTCGGTGTCCTTCGCCATAAGCGATCTGGTCTCCGTCTCCTTCTCCAACAATTCTTGATATTCGGAGCATAAGTTCTCCCTCGGATTGGACTGAAGTTCCCATTCTTCGAGAGCATCCAGAATTTTTATCTTTTGAATTAAATCGTTGGCCGCATTCAAACGCGGAAGAATTAACTCCAAGACTCGAGATATACTTCCTTCTGCTACCTCTGTGTAAAAATTTACGTTTACGATTATTTTACAATTTCGAAGAGAAATGTAAAACAACCGATAATTACCACAAAATACGTCTAGCTTTAGCTTTCGTTTCGTTGCTTCCTTCGTCAAGACGTCTCTAAGAATTATAATAGTGGATATATTCTCGCCGAGAAAAAGTGCACTCCCTTTTCTGTAGTTTATTAAAAAAATTAATGACAAATGCAGGTCTGATTTTACATTATAAACTTACTTATATTTGCATTTGAGAATTGTACCGATGAAGGACGAGATATATACTAAAACAGCTTCACCCTCGTTAATGTGAGGTCTCTCGGGTACGTCTGGTAACGCTAAAGATAGCCACGCATGCATCTTAAAAAGAAATCCATAAACAATCATTTCTCTCTCATAAGATTAACAAAGTAAAGAACAAAATAAAGAAACGTACTTCGGCAATAGTGAATTGGCCATTTAGTTTCAATTCATTAAACGGACCACTGGATGTAATGTTATCATCGTCGTGCAGTCTGACATGCAGAGATAAGGCATAAATAGGAACTGTAATTTTACGGCAACGTTTCGGTTGTATCTGAGAATTATCACAGATATTAATAATATGTATCTTGGATTAGGAAGGCAACGTGTTAAAGAAATACCTGGGACGTTACATAGACCTGCAAGGTACCTGGCTGACCCTCGATGGACCTCAGTCGCATTTCCAGACGATTTGTATTAATCTATTTACCAATAATTTTTCATACTTTCAGAGATATTATTAAAATTCGAGATTGTTTCAGAGAATTACATTTACTTGGCAACGATAAGTAGCAAGAAGAAAATTGCCCTCTTTGGGATCGCAAGCGGACAAGCTGACCACTGCGCTATTGTTCTCTGTCTCCAGCAGGTCGATGGGCGTATCGGATTGTATTAGAATATTGTCAATCGACGCGTCCAATTCTACGGATAGGGAATACGAAGCATCTTCTTTATGCAGTTCCATTCTGTTAAATTGATTTTTATTGCAATTTCAGTTTATCCTGATTAATCTGTTTTATAATTATAATGTAGATTAATTTCATTGCGGTTACTTATGATTCACTGCTAATATTAAAGGTGCTAAAGGGTCCAGCATGAAATTGGCCGAATCCTTCTCCTCATTGAGTTTCTCCTGCAGTTGTTGTATTTCCAACTTCAACCTGGCCAATCCAATGTCGCTCTGTCCTGCTTCTAATAAACCAGGAGGACTGGTAGTCAATCCGAATACTCTACCTGAGTAAGTCGTGACGAGAACCTCGGGATAATTGGCAACACCGATTATCCCACCGACGACTGTACTAATACTCTCGCCAGCATTCTGTAACGATTTATTTCGAAACTAATATGATTCAATTCGACGACAACTATAGATACGATCACAATCACTCACATAGTGATAGCGCAGAATGGACGATACATCTTCGTCGGGAAACGTGTACACCTCGACAACTCCATCCTGTCGACCAATAAGGATATCTGTACCGTCTTGCAACTCATATGTATCCAACGAAGTGATTCCCGAGCCTGTCGAAGTCAACAGCCAAGTAATTCGGAGAGTTTTGTTGCCTTGGAGGATCAGCAATCCGACTCTGCCATCCGCGGTACCGACCAAAACGCGGTCCCTCGAGTATATTTCTCCTTCTCTGAAACGAGAGAGATGAGTAATATAAATAATTTATTTGAAATACTGTATGTGAAATATCAATAACACCTGTATATGGAAAGGACCATAGGAGCGCTCGGCAATCTTAAAACCGTTGGACTTCTTGTACCGTGCAAAACACGTACCTGGAAAGCAAAATTACATCGATGAATCAGTGTCAAGATGCATTCTTTGAAAATAACTTTATATTCAAATCTCTGTAAGTTTTTGCTAAGAAGAGAATTGAGATTTAAATTCATCGCAGAAACTCTGTAAGAATGAAAGGATCTAGGTAAAATTGCAAGAGTATTGATGGCTATCATTTTTAGAAAATGGAACGTAAAATATACGGTTGTTTTCTTAAAAGCTGGAATCTGAAAGACTTTTGAGACGAATTCTCGATACTACGACGTCTTACCGCGCAGTCTGCACAAGCTAGAATAGCGTATACTATGTTGCCGTCTCCAGGCAAGAGCACTACGTCATGCAAGGTTTCTCCAGCTAGGTACGAATCGGCATCTTTGCAATCTCTGTATCGGTGATAAAGGTCACGCGCGCACGCAGCGAGATCAGGACCAAGAACGTACCTAAAATGGGCATTTCATAATAATATATGATATATATATATATATAGAGTATATCAAAGATATCATAGAGTTGAACTGAGTGTGAATGAACTTACATTGCAGAAATCGGATCTATAAGGCTGGTATCGAACTCTAAGAACAACTTGCCCTTTCTCGTGAATCCCTTCACAGAGTTGCCGTACGCAAGAAAAATTTTATCCCTCAACATACCTATTGAGCCTCCAAGAATAATTTTCTGAATTTTTGGGCCGGGCAAGGATTTGAACGACAATTGCAGCTCACCCTTTTTCATGCCTGTCCAAGGAAATATGATTTTATATATTTTTAAATTTAAATGTCTTATAATATTTATTTCAACGTTGACACATTAATATCAAAATACTTTTAAAAATAATTGCGATGTTATCTTTATATTAATATTAATTAATTATTAATCATCATGATAATTAAAAGTATTAGTATTAAATAATATTAATTACTCGTTTATTACTATTTAATATTTATTCGTTGAGATATTTTTATATTACAAAAAAGAATAAGAATATAATATGTATTTATACCATAAATATGCAGCACGCCGTCGTGATCTGCAACGGCGAACTTTTGTGGTTGCTTTGTTGTCCCTTCATGAGGCGGAAATATGATAGTTGTGCCACGTGAGGTAACCCCCACCGTTGTGTAATCTATCCTCGACAATGCCAACGTCATCGTGGGTTGATCGATCGATTGATTTCAAAATTGTTTCGCCGATCGAGTCAACTCGACTCAAATTGCCATAGTTTACCGAATCGCCTCAAAATATCACTTATCTTAGTTTATCAATTTGCGAGCCCTACGAGTTTCAATGCAAAGTAGCGACGACAGATCGAAGCGGCGGTAAAATAATACCACGATCAATTCAACCATGGCAACGTGTAGCATAACAAACCGGTTTTTTGAATCACGATAAAAATTAAAATAATCATCAATAAAGACGCAATATTTATTGGTGAATTTTTATTTTAAAATCAAATTTTAAATTTATTTGAATTTGGAATTTGAAGTATTGTTATCTTCAACAAAGTGATCTTCCAAAATTACCCATCGCGATGAAACTTTTACATCTGTCTATAAAGATGTAATATTTTTTGGTAATAAAGTTTTATTTCTTGTATATAAATCAAATTTAAATAAATATTGATTTCATATACGTGCAATTGCAGATTCAAAATAGAATCAATGATTCAAATTGATTTGAATTTGAAGTCTCGAGAAGTATCGATACCTCGAGATCGAGTGCGAGAGCAAGTCAGGTTTTCAAAATGCACAGGATAGGCATGAAACTTTCGCTAGGAATTAGAAGTAATTATTGTAATGTATCTGAAAATCGTGAGACCTGCTGTTATTTCGTATAATATTTCAGCGAACATTAGTACATTAGATACGAAGTTGCTACGCTAGAATTATTAGAGAGAACAACAGTTTGAAGAAGCCTAACCTAACTTAATCATGAGCAACAAAACAACAAGTACTGGTGAGTACACTGCAATTTCTTTTATATTTTCTCATCGCGAGTATCGCGATTGATCCAATCAGTTTTAAAGTGATAAATTACATTGGGACGTCTTACATATGAAAGATACTCGCTCAGGGGAGATAGATCCCGTACAGGAGCAATTAACTGGTCGAGTACGAGAGGTCGGGAATTATGCGATCTGGAGCTTGTCAAGCTGTAAGCCAGGATTTGGCGTGGACCAGCTTCGCGATGACATCACAGAAACGTACTGGCAATCTGATGGACAGCTGCCACATTTGGTAAACATACAATTCAAGAGGAAGACAACTATTCGTGACATATGCATCTATACGGATTATAAGCTGGATGAGAGCTACACTCCTAACAGGTATCAATACTTTCCATTGTTTGGAGATTGTCAGGTGCTTTTCATTTGGTGACACAAGTATTTTCTTATTTTTGTTACTTAATATAAAAAGATTATATAAATTGGTTTTACTAAGGCCTAGTTCCATTAATCTAATTCTTAGTATTATAAAAAGATAATTAGTAAATTGAATCAAGATTAAAGTTAATTTTATATTGGTAGAACCAGGTCTAAATAGAAAGCATTCATCAGCAATCATTGATAATTATTAATGAAGGTGTTCCGGCTAATTTTTAGAATAAGTATTAGAGCTGGAACCAACTTCAATGATCTACAGGAGGTAGAGGTGATGGATTTGAATGAACCAAGCGGATGGATAGTGATCCCCATTAAAAACATCAATGATCGGCCCATTAGGACATTCATGATTCAGATAGCAGTCATCAGCAATCATCAGAATGGCAGAGATACTCATATGAGACAAATTAAGATCCACAGTCCTGCGCAAGATATTCTTGGACCACCTGCGTCTTACATCCCGGGACAGTTTCTCACTAATGAATTTTTACGCTATGCCACTATTAGATAAAATTAAACTCCTTTAACATACACAGACATATATATATATATATGATAAAATTTTTATTATTATCAACATTCAATTCAACACACATATTCATATTCAACATATCCTTTCATTTTCAATCTCTTATTTTATTCAATTGTTTTATTGTTAAGAATAAAGTTATCTTCTATTTATCAAATAATTTGTAAATGAAAAATTCTAAGACTCCTTATACAATGTATCATACAGAGAAATTTATATTAGCGTGTGCGTGTGTGTACATACCTGTTACAGAGTGGAATTTGGAAAGGTAAGAACTATGTACACAGAAAAACTGTAAACATGATATTATTGGATGACAAACTGGCATTGTGGATCAGTCGTGATCGATAGTTTGAAGAGACTACTTCATATGAATATGTTACGAGGGTTCCTCCTGAGTTTCACGTTAATATGTGTGATACAGTGTGAATATTTCCCTTCTTATCCAACAGAAGGCTTGTACGCGATACTCAATCAAACGACAGAGTATTTCAAAAATCTCAGTAATGGTAAAATATTAATCGCTTTGTACTTTAATATAAATATTACTACTTTTATTTATAAAAAAAATCGGTTCTTTTAGTGTACAATATATTAAATAGTAATACTAGGAATAATATTAACAATGAAATTGCGAAATATATGAATGATACGAAAGAAATCCTTCAGAGAAACAAGCGACAAAAGAGAAGTCTTCAAAATGAACCCAGTAAAGGTAAGCGAAAGATTTTTCACTTATGTAAAAATCTTGTAAAATTGATTGAAAGAAATTAGCCAAAGTACATATATATATTTTTTTTAATATAATTATTATATTAATCTGAAAGTTTACCAAATTTTCCTTCTATTCCAAAAAGCTCCTTAAACGCGTGCTGACAGTCATGATCAGTTAAGTACTTGAGAAGCTGACCCATGTCATTGTGACGTTCGTTAGTAGCAAACGAAATTTCTTCAAACTCTGTAAACTTGCGCATATTATCCACATTACTACAATCTTCCTCTTTTTCCATTAATTTTATCAATATCTTTTGCCAGTTCATAGCTTTAATCTGCAAAGAAAACTATATTAGCGTGAAATATTCTCATTACATTATACATTAGGATTAAATGATCTTTGATATTACTTTCTGCCAGCAGTAATTACAATCTTCCAGAGTTCCCTCTATACAAATTATTCCCGGTTTGCCGGAGAAGCAGAATCCTGTGATGGAGTTCTCTTTCGCCAAATTAATTACGTCCCGCCGTTTGAACCTGCTGTATATATGATGGCTATAGATCCAATATCTGGAGAAAACTACTGTAATCCGATCTTCCGTGCCGCTTGTATTCGCATCGCTGTGCTTAATCGCTTGGTTACATACGGAAGCTTCGAGATAAGTCTCAATGTTGTCCTGCAGCCACGATATCAGCGTGTAGATACAAGGCTCACCTGCCTCTTGGGCTTTGACGATGACAGAGAGATCCTTGTTCAGCAGACACTGCTGCGTTCTGTCCAAGCAGGAGCTTCTCACGTATACTTCAGGTTGCTCCTTCGGGTAGTTAGTTGGCAAGCTTACTAGTAGCTCAATACTTTTCTAGAGTAATGAAAGCAACATATTAATGATACACCATAAGTGAAAGAAAAATCTGAAGACTATTGCAGCAAATAATTAACATTAGAAGTATCCAGTGGTCATTATTGACTGTTCTTTTTATTAATATTATATTTCTTATATAAGAGATAAGATTCAGAAATATTTTTTGACTTTTCAGTAATTACGTTTTACTTGTACAACTCGAGCAGTGCTATAACGAGAAATTTAGCCAAAAGTAAAAATATTTTTCTTCTTGTACTTTATTAGAAGTGTTAATGCTAGATTAGTGAAGTTAACACTTCATATATTTTCAATTTACATTTTTTAGTATAAAAAATGCGGAACTTTTTTTATTTTAATAAAAAACTGTAGAACTATGAAAAATGATACAGAAACTGTTGTAATTTTTTTATATTAATAGAATGACGTGTTAACTTAATAAGCCAACTTTATATAAATCTGGCAATATATTATGTTGTAAATAAATGTTATATTACATCGTTCATTGAAACTGCGATTGCATACTCCAGCCATCGTGGTGGTTCATGATTAGGAAACTCGATGTATTTGTTGATGTCAGCCAAAACCCCATGGTCCATCACGGTCAGCTCGGTTGGGTAGACGGACTGCAATGCTTGCAGTTCGTTCACCTGTGCTGTTAAACTCTCTATCACCTCTTCTGGAGTAGACATGATTCAAACGATGATACATATGATAGGATAACGAATCAGTTTGCACATTCAGTTTTCGACGACCATCGTATCACCGAATCGAGATGTTAATACAAAGTTCTGATTATATCGTTCAAACTATAGAAGACGTTGAGGTTATCGAGAAGCCAGCTGATGTTGACATTGTTCTGTAGGAAATCCTATCGCGCGGCTACGTTTCAAAATCGGAGCATGTTGCCTTACGTACTTTTTATCTTTGTGCTTCGTTATACTTTTTCATTTAATTAATTTGTTTTAAAATTTCGATTATAAAAATTGATCTATTTAATTTTTGAATTTATTGCTATGAAAAACTATATAATATATCTCTTAAATTTATATCTCTTAAAGAAAAGGTGTTTAAAATAATTAGTGTTAAAATATCCAAAACTTAAATTAAAATGAATAATTTTTTATTAAGATTGTAAAAGGAGTTTTTACATAGAGGATTGCTCATTTACAAAATATTTTTAGAATTATTTAATACTACACAATATTAAAAGAATAAAAGATATATAATGTGATACATCTACAGAATTACTAGTTCTAAAGTAGTAATATTAAATAAAATATAGGCGAATCTTTTAATATTACCAAATGCATCAAATTCTAAAAATGATATTCTGTAAACAAACATTTTTACATTAAAAAATTTCTTGTAATCTTATAATGATTTAATTTAATTTAATTCTTTATAATATTAAGGTGAGAAATAAATTTTACAAATACGTTTGATTACAATTTCGGATTTCGATTTTATATATTTACAGGTGTAAACGTGCTGCAAAGTTTCGAAGAAACTTTATCCTTCAGTTTACCAGATTTTCAAGATATGACCTTCTTTTTCATACAGGATGAAAATCGATTTCTCTGGTTCGCAGTTACCGTCAATTCCTCAGACATACTACTTTATCAATTGGTTGTATGTCATAATCAACTATATTCTATGTTATTTTTATATTTTATAAAATGATAGAAAAAAGGAACACTACTCTACTCTGCAAAACTATATAATTTTTAGAATAATCAAGCGCAACTTATCGGGACATATCCGCAGCCCAATGGAAAACGGATAATTGTACATAATTATAGCGCCGGTACGCTTATAGTCGTGCAAAAGGATGTCGATGGAATCATCATTTTGTGTCTGAGCAAGGACGAAAATGGAATATACGAATTGCAGTTCAAACAAGAGTTCGAAATTCCTGGAGTGGTACATACAAATATTTGGCTCGAAATGAATCAGCTGTATTTAGGAATTGCTTCGGAAACAAAAATATTTATATACGTCTGGCTCGGAGAGAACTTCGACAAGATTGATACGTTGCTCTATGGAGCAAGAAAACTTTTGCCCTTCCAAAGCAAGAGTTTCATGCATATTGTCGTCGTAGGATCGTTCACAAAAATACTCCGGTTTTCCGTGCGTTCTAACAAATTCGTAGAAATGCAGAAATTACATTACGCTAACGACGTCAGTTCATTTCATTTCAAAGAAGGTCATTTCGAAGAGCGCTTTCTAGTTTTAGCCGGTAATGAATCCACGATCTTGTACAAGGAGATGTATGGTCGTTTCGTGCCGTTTCAAAAAATCGCTCCAACGTGGCAGATTCTTTCCTTGACAATGGGAAACACCGTCGTCCTTTTTTTAGTTGAGCAAGATACTGCAGAAATTTATCAGTATAATGGGTGGAAATTTTTAAAATTGCATATAGAATTATCGAACCTTCGACAAATTCGTTCTATTCGCTCATATGACGAAGATATACTCATGATACAGAATCAGGCTGGAGAATGGAAATTTTTAAATCCTACATGGACGGTGAAGAAAACGTGGAAATCCTTGCAGGACGAAACAGCCACTTGGTGTTTAGAGACCAAGCAACAAGCGTCTCAGAGAACTTTGGAAAAGCCTCCAGATTCAAAAAATCCTGTAATTTCGAACGCGCACATCGGTCAACTTCGTATGCAATATGTAAGACATTGTTTCTCGGTCTGCTAGTTCAAATAAAAAATAAAATTTTATATTAAATCGATTAATACAAATTTGTATTTAAATGTATTAAATGTTTAAAGATGAACGATCAAAATGCAGAGGAACTAGTCCAGTTGACTGAGCGATACAAGAGTGTAATCGCTAAATTAAATCTGACAAACAGCTTCTTGACGCAAAGAACACAAGATGCCGAAAAGTCTAAGCATACAGTTTTGCATGGCAAAAAGATCACAGTCAAGTGTAAAACAAATTGTCATATTCATCGTATAATTATGGATGGCGGAATTAAATCTAAATACATAAGATTCGAACCCAATGAGGTCCTACGGCTCACCAAATTGAAAGTGAAGACGTTACTTGACTGGAAATGTCCCGTTCCTAATTTTAAGATAAATGATATATTCGTTAAAAAATCTATTAATGGGATACTAATGCGAGACCTACAAGAGAGAACTTTGAAAGTTTCGGGAGATCAAGTAATTACAGGTGATTTAATGCAGCGTGCCGATTTTGTTTTTTTTTTTATTACATATTCTGTATTACATTTTATTTAATATATGAATTTTAGGTAATCATATCTTTGCCAATTTGCATGCGACAAACGTTTCGATTCCTTTAGACATTGCGACAAGAAGCATTGAACAAACAGTGTATATGAAAGAGGCGAGAGTAAAAGATTTATATCTAACCAAGGACGAATTCTTTTTGCCATTAAATGGTCCCACCACTGTAATGAGCGGTTCCATAACTGCTCCAAAAGTGAGACTTACAGGTAGAGATATAAAATTACTGTCAAATTTAATTTGACAATTACTTACGGTAAAATTATAATAAAATGATAATTAATTTATTGGTAATTTTGGTAATATTTGTCTTTATAGTTTTATGCGTAAACAGATTTTATTTATTTTTTTCACATTATAATGCATAAGATAAAACAATATCCTTTCAATATTCTCATTGAGAATATAAATCGCTGATAGATTAATAGGACTATTCATTAAATATAAACATAAAATTTAATCGATGCTAAAGTTCGTTTTTAATATATGGCTTCCTGAAGATTTGATAAAAAAAAAATACATAGTAAGCGATGCAGATTAAAGATTCCTGTATTTTTTATATTATTCTTTATTTGATATTTTAAAATCTAGTTTTTTTTTTACTAAATTACTTAAAATTATTCTATACTTTTATTTAGATGTTCCGGTAGTAGTGTAATTATAGAAAGATTTTTTATTTATAATTGTGACTTTGTTTTTACTCTTATAAAAACTGTCTTTAACAGTTTAATCACTAAAATAGCAAGCAACTAAATAAAAGTTTTATAAGTTTGTAAAATCAAAAATATCAAAATACAAATAAAAAATATATATTAAAATACGTACAAAATAGTTTAAGATTACTCATGTATTTGTCACATTTTTTCAGAATCTTAATAAAAAACTTATTTAAAGTGCTTTTAGTTTAGACTATGTACCTAGTTTTTGTAATTATCATATATTCAATATATAATAATTAAAAGAAATAATATTACATATATTGATATATAATATATTATATTGTATACCAATATATACCTAATATCAAAATGAAAATGTGAGTTAAATAAAGCCTTTTTATCTTAATGACTAAAGGCTAAGTACTTTTTACATCAAATTATTTTATTTTTATAATTTTTTTTTAAATTGCTATTTTATCAGTCTTTAAAAATTACTGACTAATTTTCGTAATTTACCAAGCAAATTACCGTCAAATTTCATTTCACAGGTCTTGTTAAAACATCAGGCAGAATAACAGGCAAAGGAATCGAAAGATTAAAGCCTTTGAAAGAGATCCTTACACCGTTGGTATTGTCTGGTAACCGTTTCTTACAGAATGTGACATTCAACAAGTTCGTTAAAACTAAAGATATTGTCAGGTCTCGTGGACTATCGATGAAAGAAATCTTAGAGAATATTGTACCGCTAGATTCTAATGTATCAGCGCATTTGATATTATCCAGCAATAAAACAGTAATTATTAAAAAATATTTTATGTGCGCGTGTATAATAATTTTTAATTTATTTTACATTTTTATTTTCAGCAATGGAGAAATGTGACTATGTGGGACTTTGTTACCACGAATTTCGTAACAAAGAATTCTGCTGAAAATATTGTTATTTCCGGAACAAAATACACGAATAATAATGTCACTTTGTCAAGCACTGCGTATCAAAATCTTCCTATTCCGAAGTACACACATTTTTTTGTTTTATATAAATATAATAAATTACATCCCAGTGAGAAATAATAATGGAATGGACATCGAATCGATGTCAATTCGACGTCGATTTAATGATTTCGACGTCGAATTGATATCGATTCGATGTCCATTCCATTGTCATTTCTCACTGGGATAGAGTATCCTACATCCTCTAAAAATGTATACTTACAGATTGACGATTCCCCTATGTGCCAAAGAAGTCATTACTCCGGAAATTAGAACTTCTTCAATGAAAATGGGCGATATAATTGTAAAAAATTTAAATGTTTCACATGTTCTTGGAGCTCATAATTTAAATACGACCGTTTTCAATTCTGTGTCAGCTTTGCATGACATTGATTTTTCAACGAAGCTATTCACGGGTCAGGTTTTCGTAAAGAATATGTCAGCGACAAAAATTAAGGGAGCAAATATAAGCGGTAAAAATAACTTAAATTTGTCTAAGTACTTACACTATATGTATAATTAATATTATATAGATTTAAAAATTATAGTGAACGAGTGGATAAGCGAAAGTCACATTAAAGGACCGGTAAATCTTAAGAAACTCGTCGTTAATAATCTCGAAACACCAGCCTATTTTAATTTCTCTTTACCTACGAGAGTAAAGAACGTAATTATAAAAGGAGATAGCGACATTAGAAGAATCAACGATATAAATATACAACCTTTTATAGAAAATGTACTAAAGATAGATGATCCGATATCTTTAGAAAACGTAACATTCGGTAAGTTTACATTTAATATTTCCCCATTAATTCGAAAAAAATAAAAATGCAATGCGTAATTTATATTAAAAAAAATTGTTTACAGCTCGTGGTTTTACGTCAAGCAATATATATGCTTCTCGCTCGACATTAAAACTTTCACATTTAGATACAAATCTCAACTTGGGTTCAAAACGGATTTCTACTACGCTAAGTACAGATGCGCTAAACGTGCCTCAGACTTTTGGTTACGTCGCAAGTGATACACCATCGACCTTTATTATACAAGGTACAGTGACGGAATCTACTAATCATATTGTATGATGAAAGGATTTTAATGATGTATGTAAATATTTCTATTTTAGGATCAGCCAGATTTTTGAAGGAGCCAGTTATAGAATATATAAAGGATGTGAATCTAAAGCAATTATCTAAGAATTTATGGATGGCAAATCAGGACACAACTTTATCTGGTAGCAATATGTACTTCGAAAACATTACTTTAACAGGAGATATCGTGTTAAAGGTAAAAATATTATTAAAACAAAAGATATACGTATAAAGATTACGTATAAGAAAAATAATATTAACTATAAGAAATTTAATCACTTTTTTTTAGCATTTTAATAATTCGTTGAATCTAAACATGTGGAAGGATATTAAATGCAAATTTTTAAGCAAAACGGAAACACAGTATATTACTGTACCTTCGTTGTTTAAGAATGTTGAGATACCTTCTGTGAATGCAGAAAATAATTCAATTCTACAGTCTTCAGACTTGAATTTGAATAATTTGCTGACTAATCCCTTAATGAAAAATGCGACGCAAACTATAAATGCTACGTGGCATTTTGAAGAATTGTACATAAGTAAGGCAGAGAACACTTTTTTTAAATACAATTTTTTTTTTAAATTAATTATACCTTTAATTTAGATAATATGATTTGGGATGGTAAATTTAATGGAATCGATTTAAACACGGATATTGTTAGGCGTAACACAAAACGCAATATCGTCACTGGTAAGAAAACGATATTAAGTTTGACGACTAAAAATCTCGAGGCATTAAATATGAATTTTTCGAACTTTACTAAATATGCTGTAACTCAAAAATGTCAGGAGTTATTGGTAATTAAAGGTCAAAAAACTTTTACCAATATTACTTTGAACAATTTGAGGTAATTGATATTTCTATCAAAGAGCAATATTTTTATTAAAACGTCTTTAAAAACTTTTAGCGTTTTTCCTTTTTTTAGCGTCAAAGGTACGATTATGGGCTTTAATATCAAAGACGGGTTACTGAAGTCCAGAAATCAAACGCTATTCGGAACCAAGAGGATACAAGGCCATCTTAATGCATCTCTTATTATTGATGGTACTGTGAATGATGTAAATCTGATGGATTTAATAAACAATCAAATGGCGAAACGTAAAGCGGTACAGACGGTAGAAAGTAAGATGGATTTCAGAAATGAAATTGAAATTTTTGGGAACATCACAATCGGTGGACTCTATGAAAAGATAAACTTAACAAATATTACACAAAATAAAATAGATACTGTTTTGGATAGAATGACGGAAGTCATGACATTGACGGAAGATATAACAACTGCGTTGCAAAGTGAGTTGTACATTTAAAGTATTAAATAGCGTTCAAGAATATAGATAATATTCATTCAACAAAATATTAATTATTTTGTATGCAGATCGTGCTATTTATGTCAACAAATTTGAAGTAGTGGACGAGGATGTATTGCAAACCGTTTCTAACACTTCTAATACAGAGGACATGAATCTTAACAGTACCTGTCTTTGCGAATCAGAGAGTACGTTTTCATTTTGTAACGATACAGAATTATTGTACGCTGTCGCCGGTATAAATGCTAGTGCATTTGTGATGAAGAAATTGATACTGCTGGATGATACTATGTTTTTAGTATTAGTGTCAAAAGATTTCGTCTCAATTTATTCGTATACTGCTGAACAATTTTATCAGGTAGCAGGTGAGTCTCACGAAGATATATTATTAAATCACATTTAGCAATGAAGAATTTTGTAATGTTACAAAATAATATTTAACAGGATTATATGTGCCTGGTATACTTGAAGTATTTATGGAATCAATTGACTATTCGTTATGGATTTTTTTGCGATTATTCGAAGAAACCTTAATACTGCGTTATCACGCGTGGAATGAATTCAGTCAATATGTTTTACCGGGTTCGAATTCGTTTGTAATCAGTAAGACGCCCAATGATCAACATCTGTTAATACGATCCGACGGTATGTGGAATCTCGGAGGACTTTTCCATCCGAAACACATTTTTAAAATGTCTCTGGAAGGGCAAATAAAGACCTTCAGTTTCGATGCCGATTATTATGTCAAAGCAACAACGGAAAACAGCACGACTGTTTTAAAAGCACGATATGTGGGTAATTAATACGTGTAAAGTGTTATTTCTTAGTAATTCCTGCAGAGTTTGTTCAAATTCGAGAAATTTGGTATGTATATCGATAAATAGTTTTTTTTTTACTTTCACTCGTATATATTTATCGTTTTTACTTACAGTAGCTTGAAATAAAGAAAAAGAAAAACACGAGAAGAAAATTTGTAGATATGTATATTAATTATATCTATATTAACTATATTAAAAATATATTGAACTGCATCAAATTATTTTCAATTTATTATCATAAATGGATAAAAATGTAAAAAGGCGAATATTACAAATCGGAGAGGACCAATTTTTAAATTAAACTTGGGTTGTCATAATCGTGGAAACTGTCCCCTAAGAAAGAGATAAAAAAGTTTTGCCGTTTAACATTACTTTAATATGCAAATATTATAGTTGTAATGACACGTACTTTTGCAGCGTCTTTGAGGATCGTTATTTCTTCCATTTTATGGGTTTTGTGCTCGTCAATCTTCGTCTCCTCGATTTTATGTTTCTGAAAATCGTTTATTCGTAATTTTATGACGTCATTTGCGTTATGCGTGTTCTCCTTAATTATAGATTTTGATTTACGAAGCGTAAGAAAATTGACACGCTCGGGGAGCATGTATTGCAAAGTTATTCGGGTTAATCTCGTAATCGAATGCTCGACAAGATGCGCGTATACACCAAATGGATGACCAGCAGAGTTTTACGCATCATCAGTACGACATACGACGGAAACGATATTAAGAGGCATTTAGACTTATAAAGAATGTCTAGGAGCAACGATTGCACGATTGGGACTGTATCCGCCCGTACCGGTTCCCTCTTCGTAAACTTCTCCTCGAACCTCTTGCGTTCCTCGATCGCATTGTTAAGTGCGATCTGCTCCGCGGGCGTGAGCACCAGAAGGCGCGGATCCATGGCGATCCAGTCACTCTGCACAATCTGGTCCAAATGCCAGCGTTTAGACACATTCGGCTCGAGCAGACTGCTCACAAGCTTCTTTACATGATCGGTCAGACTGCCGATTACTTTACTGCGAAATTTCCATTTGCGCGCTACCTGCAGCTCGTACAGGCGCTTTAGGTTGTCCTCGTCGAATGGCATAGTCTTGTTCAACATTATATAAAGAATTACGCCCAACGCCCATATGTCGGATATCTTCGGATTGTATGGGTAACCGCGGAGGATCTCCGGCGCCGCGTAAGACAACGAACCGCAATACGTGTCGCTCAGAACGCGCTTGCCACGGTTGTCAATCATATAACGAGCAAAACCAAAGTCCGCCAGTTTGACATTGTAATTTGATGTGAGAAGAACATTTTCGCATTTGATGTCACGATGCGCTATTTCCATCTCATGTAGATATTGAAGACCTGGCAAATGAACACGCATTAGGGAAAACATCCGCGAACAAATACTGAGTTTGCACAAATCTAGCTCATCAATTACAACTATTGTATAACTATATACTTATCAATTATAACATCAATTATAACTTATCAATTATAACTATATATTTATATACTATTATAATTATTAGCTACTTTTATTAATTACATTCCTGGATTGATCTCTTTAATGAATTAATCCTGGAAGGCTTATATCTTTTTTTAAAATTAATTTTCTGAATGAAAATTTACCTACAAAATTAAAAAGTCTTTTACACTTCTTTATAGGTTGCGAGATGTTAGAATAACTAAACTAACTATTTTTAAAAAGAATTTTAATCTTTTATCTACCCCTAATTTATCTGCCTAATTTATCTACCTAACAGGTGAAGAAAATTTATTTATAGTAGTATTATAGAGTTAACGCTATTTCTTCAAGATAGGAGTATCTTAATACCTAAAGCAAGCTGCCTGAACCATACGCGAGCCTGACTCTCCGCCACCGCGCCGTTCTTTAGTATAAAATTAAAAAGATCGCCATTCTCAGCGAAGCGCATGAATATGAAGTACTTGGTGCGCCTTTGGAAGATACTATGAACATGCACGACATGTGGATGATTCAGCTTCACCAGAATGTCCAGTTCACGCGGTAGGAACTTTCGGACAAAGTCTTCTGGTGCATTTGCAGTGTCAATTATTTTACAGGCCAGAACACTATTTTTCTCTGATTCATGTTCCGGCTTATATTCGGCTAAATATACCTATAACGATAAACAATTATTTAAAGTACCTGAAAGGAATAATAGAATTTTTGATTAAGATACCAACTTTTGCATAACAACCTTCGCCAAGCTTTCTCCCCAGTTTGTAACCCCGAGCTAGCAGTGTGGCTTCCTCGGATGGTGTATGGCTCAGGTGCGACATGAGATTTGTAGGACGATAGACGACATTCTACCCGCTGCATTACCATAATTCGTAATTAGTCGTTGTCACTTCGTTCGATGCTTAGACATGGATCGCATCACGAATGCGAATAACCAGATGACGTAGGATTTCCATTCGATAAAGCAAATTGTCAAAACATTTACCGCACTTTTATTTCTTTTTCTTGATGATGATGACGAATCTTATACTAGAAATTTTGATGAATCCGCGAGGGCGGTTACTTAACCATTTTGACGAAACATAAACTGACACGGGTATCAATGAACGTGAGCCGAGCTCGGCCCTGTCTATTGAAGTATAATAAAAAACAATTAAACATCATAAAAGATAGAAAAGCAAGATAAATTTAATGAAGAAAGCCGTTGTCTGTACACACAAATATAAAACGTTGGAAATTATTCATATATTTTTTTTCACAGCTTAAAAATTTTTTAATTAACACTAGGAGCGCTAATGTATCCCGTTAGAATTGTCGAAAGTGCCAATTTGGTAATTTTCTATCTTTGTTTTTGATTAGTAAAAAATTATTTCTGTATTTATCATATTATTTATATCGTTACAAATATTATATTCACATATTTTCAATATTGTATACTGTACATTTAATGCAAAAAAGAAAGACCGAAATAATTAGTGAGGCCAAAATGGCACCATCGGTGGTTTTAGTGTTAATCAATAAACATTCAATTCACATAACATTTCACAGTTCAGAAGTGTACTCCAACCGCTTAATGACCATTTTGTATTCCTCTTCCAAGATCCGGTATTCTTTTTCTAGTATCTCTTTGCGTTGCTCATCGGATGGTAGTCCATTACCATTCGTATACGTGCTTTTATCTCCAGTATTCTTCAACGCGCGTTCTATTTTCAGCTCCTCATTCTGTTTTCTCTTAAATGGTATATTCAGTCTTTTCTTCACGTCTATTCTGTATGCCCGATATTCTTCTGCATCCGCGACATTTGTCGCCTGCAATCGTAGAATTTCATACACTATGCGAGCCTGTTTCTGTGAACAAAATATTTATAAAGTAGAAAAGAGAAAAACAAGCGATAGTATAAAATAAGTCACATGTTAATAGATACCTTATTTATTCTTAATGTGTCTCTAGCCTCAACAATCATTTCATTATCGAAACCTTGCTTTAAACGCTTTGGCGCAAAACTGGGCAATGTGCTGCAATTTAAGGAGTCTACATAGTTTCGTAGTCGTTGAAAATCATCGGACGGACTTTCCACTGCAAATAAATTTATTTTATTAAAATATTTTAATTATTAAAAAAAAATTTGAATTTTTAAAGTTAACTTTGAACAAAGTTTAATGGCTCCTGAAGACAGAACGCGGAAACGTTTGCCGCGCGGAGAAAGTTGGCGCGATAGCCAATCGGCAAGATGTTGATTGGTTACGCGCCAACTTCCGCCGCGCGGCAAGCGTTGCCGCGTTCTGTCTGCAGAAGCCATAAGATCCCTTCAAAACTTCAAAAATATATTTGTACAAATAAAAAAAAATGAAACCCTTCGAAATAAATTACCAACTGTAATATACTTGCAGTACTGAAAATCTGTGTGTGTGTGATGTAAATTATGATTTTCCAGTAGTAGCGGTATATTCATGTATATCAGAATATGGCTACTGCCAAGGATTATTCTATTACCTGTTATATCCTTAACTTCACGCCTTTCAATATATTCGCGATAAATCGCTTGCAACAAAAATTTGCCAAGACCTATCCTTCGGAATGGTGGTAAAATTAAAAATTGAGCAATGCGCGGCCGAATATGTTGCGGATAAGCATAATATTGATACACTGTAGCAAAACCAATCGTCGCATATCGAGTAGTACCCATAGATGTGGTATATTTTTCAAATCTATTTCAGAAAAGTGATTATTTAATGAAGATCATGTTCATTATATACAACTATTTATATATATTATTTGAATAACACAATATCGAGTGACTTACAAATTAAAATACTGCCATTGCTCATCGTCGATATCAATAAAAAGAGCCGCATCTATGTACCAAAGAAGGAATGTTTGAATTCTTTGATGATATTCTCTGAATCCTTTGTGACCCATATCTGCCTTATAAACAACAAATTGCCTTGTCTCACCTTCGTCTATGTATCAATCAATAAGAACAGTAATAGCAATTGTTATAGCTTTTAAATTTTAAGTCACATGTACAGAAATAAAGATATATTAGATACCATTTATTGAGAAAGACTGTATCAATTCTCCATATGGTATAAATGTATCATCCTTGGTAAGTGCTTTAGTAAAATTAGCTAAGCTATAGTGAATATTGGGAGCGAGCTTTGGAATGATCTTTGTTAACACTTCATCTGCTTCGACTCCTTCATATTTTGCATTTACTTTCTCGGTATATTTCATTCCCAAATATGTTTCCAAAGAACCTGCCGAGTAGAATAGCTGTATTTTCAGGTCCAGATAACCAAATATTATTTCCCTATAAAAACAATTAAGGACAACAATTAAGATCCATACATACACCCATAAAAATACTATATATATATATATATATATATATTTATATATTAGGGTGGTCGTTATTTTGGGTTAGAAAAATTTTTGACCGCGCACAACTCTTAATCGGTTCCAAATCACTCAAAAAACATCCCAGAATTTTTGCAGATTTTTATTCGAAGTCTTTGGTACGCCGCCAAGAGGTTGAAGTTCATCATTTTTTTTAATAAAAATCGTTTATTTTTCTGAATATGTAACTGTAATTTTTACGATAAAATACAAAAAATATAGCTTGATAAATATAGCTTGACAAGTTTGATAATTATTTTAAATCACGTGATTTTTTTAACGAAAAGTTTTTACTCCAAGTAAAAATGTTAATTAAAAGTATATAATGTAATGCAGAAAATGTTAAGGAATACGGTGCATTTTATGTAAACTTAAAATTATGTTGTTACGAATTGTTGCCAATAAACGACAAAGTTTTTCCTTTGCCTGACGTAATTATAAAAATCATCCGTTTAAAACATTTACGTGATTACGATAATTGTACAATGTACATCATACCCTCAACTTAGTCACAGCTTGTTTTATGCTTAATATTGCAAAAAATTCAAAATTTCCCGATTGGAATTTAATATTACCTATTTTTAAAGGAAATATGAAGTAATTAAATAATTGAGCTACATTCTTTTTTTATGTATTACGGAAATTGAAATTGAAATAAATCAAATAAGACATGAAAAAATATTATCCAGACCTGTTTTTTATAAATAGAATGTTTTAAGTAAAATTTAGCACATATAACCGTCACCAGATTTCATGCAAGCTAAGGAGTGTAATTTTCACAATACTACAACTTCAGAAAGAAAAATTACTCTTGGGAAGATAAGTAGGCCAATAGATGCGGTAAAGGTAAGGAATGCGATGCTCTACAGCGCAATATCGAATAACTTTTTTTGGAAAAGTTGTAGTAAAAAAACAAAAAATATATTTCGTTTGCCAGATTTTTGTTAAAAGAAACTTCCTAAAAAAAAGTTATAACTTAGTGAAAACATTTTTTTTTTAATTGTCCTTAGAATTTGACACGCAGAAAGTATTGAAGAACAACTGTGTTAATTGGCTATATTTTTTGTATTTTATCATAAAAATTACAGTTACATATTCAGAAAAATAAACGATTTTTATTAAAAAAA